TCAGTGTGGAGACCACCACTCCACTGCAGTTAGTATAAAGTGTGAACAAGGTGCAGATTTTCAACACTGATGTCAGTCAAGTCAGTGCTTCCATGTTATGCTTGAGAGACTTAACGCATTACGAAGGGCATTTCCAACAAATTACAGATATTCATCAACAGCTGCCATCTACGCTCGCTCACTTGATCAGATCAGATCAGATGAGATGGCCAGGATAATAAGAATAAGCAACAAGGAACTCTGGCTAGCTGGCAAGGAACCAACCAACCAAGAACCCATCTCCCAACAAATATGCAGAACTAAGTGCATACACTGAGAAGACCATTTGAGGACATCACGCGCTAAGCCCTCAAGTGGAATCCAAATGGGAAATGGAGAGTTGGGCGTCCAACCTGACGGTGACATGGAAGAGATCAAATGAGGAAGAAATGAAAGCTTGTGGGCAGTCGCGGAGCCGTGCAACTGAAGCCCCATGTTCCACTAGGAACCCGAAGGACAAATACTTTTAATAATTAGGTACTTTGTCCCTGAGTTTACAATTTACTTTTTAGTTCAGTAACACGCTTTTGAAAATTTATTCTTTTTCTTTTTTCCCTATTTTGTTTTTCAGTAAATAAGAATGACTTGTAAATTATTTATACTTTCTTGCCAGCTGTCTATAGGCAAACGTTTTGATTGTTTGCACTTGGAAGAAACTGAATAGGCAAATACGTTTGCTTGGTCGTTGAACACAAGTTTGATAGGTCAGATTACTCAGAGAACTGTAGCCAGAAAACAACTTGAAAAAGAAAACGTAAAAGCGTCGTTTTACTTAAAGTTCTATGACACAGTAGTTGATTAGGGACTATTTTATCCTCCTAATAATGAAGTTAACTTTATAAAATATTGATGATTACCTCCGAAATTAATATAGATGTATTTTCGTTAACTTCTTCGACTCACTCCGCTCGCCATCTTTTTACCATTTCAATAGTTGACCTGTATTTCGGATACCGAAGTCTTTCGCTCACAGTGAGCACACATGATTGTGAATGTTTTCAGTATAACTTATTGTTTAGTCTCTTTTTTTGCGTGTAGCCTAGTAACTGTCTGCAGGTATAATGCATAACACCTTCTGCTGAAAAATATATACCATCAAGAATCTGTGACTTCCCATACCTTCGATAAGTTTCATGCATTGCCATAAAGTGATTGTGATAAGGTAGGTCCGCTTCAGACTTCAACAAAATTCTTTATAACACTTGAATATATCGATCACAAGATGAAAGTTTTTCTTAATTAACGCTTCAGTGTTGTAAACAGTCTTCATCTAGTTTCTCTGTTTAGCATTAGCATTCGGTTACTTGTTATTTACAGGTTTCATATCATATTCTGTTTCATAGGATTTGATCGAAAAATGTCTTGAACTGATATAAAAATTTTGGTTATTCCACTTATCTTTTTGCACCTTCAATTATGCTTCACGGTGGTATTCATCACGAAACAAACATCAGATGAAGAACCACTGATAATATGAGATCGTTGGATAGCTGCTTTATCTTAGTATGAAACTTCTTATCAGTTCACACTCGCTGCTACGTCAGGGTTCAAACTCAGGACCTACAGATTACACGGTGGCCACGTTATCACTGTGTCATTAATTCATAGTTCCTACTTTGTCAACTAGCTACATAAAATGACATTCATCAATCTCAGATTTTCAATAGTTTTCCAACTGATATCAGTTTTTGATGAATGCCAATTTGAAATCAATAAATCCCCACAAACTTCTAGACTGAATTGAATTACATCCTTCAAATTAGATGGGCTGCTTTAGCTGAAACTGGACGTACACCACAAATTCGGCTTATTATAAGAAACTTTGACGAAGACGTTTCAATTGAAAATAATATCCTCGAGTAATTTTAAGACATACTGGACTATACAAGAGAGCAGGGCCATGAGTAGAAAGAAATGGATATGCTTATCAGATAATCGTCTGTTGATTGGTCAGAATGACACAAATACTTAGATAATTGTTGACAAAACATTCATGCACAACAAGAAATACTTTCTAGAACGTGGGGGAATGTCTACGATAACCAAAACTTTCAACATAGATATTTTTAGCTGTTTAGTATTTGCCTGAATAAAAACTTCAGAACAGTTTAAAAATTATATGAAATATCATCTACTGATGGACTCACATGTGCATCATCCTAAATAGTCATAGACACACAACACCTATGTAACATCTGGTTATCATTATTCTTAACTATTTGGTGAATAGTTTTTTCTGAAACCTGCGGTACCCAGCAGCAGAACTGGAGATGAAATAATATAATGATCGTTCAATAACTAGAAACAAAGTACTATAGACAGATATTCAGTGCTTTCAGGTGTCAGTAAGCATTCTGTTGACTGTCTGAGCCATAGATTTACAGACATATAAAGTTTCCGTCATTGAGGAATAGTTTTCATAGGATAACTTGGGATAAGACTACTTATTCTAGCAAACAGGACATTTTGTAATTCACTAAGGAGAGAAAACCAAATTGCCTTCTCATAGACATCAAGTAAAACAAGTTTGGAAATTTTTTCATCATATTTTATTTATTACCAGTGGGCCTACATCTAACTGTCTGTCAAGTTTGTAATCAATAAGTTTATGAGATAATCAGTCTGTTTGGGGATTTAATTTAATGTTGCCAAATTAGAACGAAATTATATTGGGAAATATGTTTTTTAAAGTCATGCCTCCTTTATGGTTATTTACTTAGAACAAAGTAGATGGCTTACCAAATCTGAAAGTGGTTGAACCACAAAAAACGACTGTGTCGTTCCACTGTCAACTAGCGGTTTAACGAGAACACGTTTTGGTGACCGTGTTGAATGAACGATCAAAATTCACAATATTTCATCCTTGAATTGATGTTGCTTTTGTATAGGTACACAGTCACTTAATATTTTCAAATGATACTCAATCTTCGGATATATACTATACGTTACTTTATGTAGAAGGTAGAGCTGGTATCCTTTACTCACTGTGCTCTGACACGCTATTAGTAGGAACAAAAAGTGTGGCAAAAAGACCAATGGAAATGTAGTTCACAATCGTTTGAAATGGATTTTTTGATCGGAAATTATTTGAACTGCATAACTGCTCTGTATTAACCGTACCTTTGGATCATATTTAAATGAAAGAATTAAGCATGGTTTTTATTTCCCTTCCGTCGTAACAGAATGAATCAAAGTGTAGCATAATTTAGTGACTGTATCGAAAGAGCGAAGATAATTGTTTAGAAGTATCGTCTGTCACCTTATATAATTTAAATTCAACCCAAATTTACGATTACACGCAGTGACCAACGATCGTGCTTTGAAAACCATTAGATATACAAAAATTATTGGATAAGGAGATTAAATGTCTGTTTTGGACCTTATGCAACTCTTAAATACCTTATATCTAATATGCACTAGAAAGGTTAACTTATTTTATTCTAAACACACTTAGATAAATACAAATATAACCCGGATCACGTGTAAACTAGTTATGGTTTCGTTTCCCGCTGAATCTAGTCTGAAACTTGTGTAAATGGGTGACATTACTACTTCTCACATAAAAATTGTTACTCACATATAAGTGTCTCACTTACCAGTGAGAAATGGAAATTCATTTAAGAGCTCCATCTATTGGTGTGCAAACAATTCACGTTGAAGCGTATGTTGAAAGAGTAAAGCTCCCATTTTTTATGGAAGTAGAAATATTCACAAAAATTCAAGGTTTTTCTAGAGAATATCTAAATGTATAGCCTAATCAAACTAAGTGAACTATTGATTATCACTGGACTGTTTGAGATGATTTAAGTTAAATAAAAATCTGGTAGACAGTTGGATCATGTAGCTCAGTTGGTAGGGCATAGGGTTGGAAACCTGTTGGTTGCTAGCTAAAACCTGGTTGCGGTCAAAATTTTAATTTCACCTTCAGTCATCACTCGGTATAAAATAAGGTGACTAAAATTTTGTAGATATTACCCACTTGTGAATAGTAGCAAATTTATTGATACCATATACGAAGAATTTGACATGCTTGTCAAAGAATCACTGTACGTAAATTCTTGTGCGCTAAAACTTACATCAAGGCAAGATGCTCATTTTAGAAACCACGTAGGACTTTTTCCGTTGATTAGAATTATCACACAGTGAAATAAAACAAACAGACTTAAAATAGAATTACAATCTACCACAGTGTCCAAGTTTTACATTAATTAAGTAAACATTATCTGAGAGAAAGCTTGTCAGTGAATAAGGTTACAATAAAGTGCTTACGACATTTTTAGTTCTTATCAGAGGATTTATCAGCCGGAACCAATCACAACAGTTCAAAGTAATATAGTGTGAAATGAACTGTAAATCAGAGTGCATTAAAAACTGCCCAGATCAGCAAAACCATCAAAGCAACACTTTTATCACCATCCAGTCAGCTGTTCCATATAAAAACTGACATATTAATTTGCATACAACAGGTAACTCTCATGTAAAGCATATGTCATGTATACTTTCAATTCTTTGTTTAATGTCCAGTATTTCTGGTCTGCGAAAAACATGCAACAAGACGAGTTGTTGATACTTATGTTGAAAGTAATCAGTGTATCAACAGTCCAATGAAGTTATTCATTCAGTAGTGTAGTAAAATGTTGAATACATTGCAAGACAAAGAGTGTTTCCTGTTATACAGTGGGTGGCTTGACAAGTTAAAGTAAAAGTTTGCATATTCTAAAAGTAACTAGAATAAAATTAAAAATAACCGCTTAATGGATTTCTATCCCATAGTTTTAACAGAAAAATGGAAGACATACTACACAGTTTAAACAACACCATGCTGTAATTTATCTTGAGAAACTTTAAATAAATTCTTGATGAAAACAACTGCCTTGTCACCGACATTTAGCAGCATTGGGAACTTAACTAACTAGAGTATCATCATTCACATGCTAATATACTGCTACTCGGCTACTGACATCTTGCTGCGAGAAACAGAAATCAAACTATAGAAGCCGGGACCATCAGAAGATGGAGTCAGTTGAAGTACAGCTCTGGATGAAACTTTATCTTTTGTACTACTGTTAACTTCTAATGATATTTGAGAGGCTTTCTGCATCTGGTGTAAATCTTAAGTAATTTAACATCGAAATTCATTTGCAGAATCCTGTTTAATTTTTTCTAGCACTGATGTGATTTATTATTATGATCAAGTGTGCAAACATTTCCATATGCTTGACAATAAACCTTGAATAGATTACTGAAAGAAGGAAACTGCCATTTTAGTGAGTGCTGACCCTGTCTGTTGTACAATACTATTGAATTAAGGTAATCTGTTGAAATTAAATGAAAATAGCTACAAGATAAGACTGAGAAAATCTTTGTAATAGGCCATATACACCTGAAACCTTTCTCAACCAATTCTTTTGTTGCACTCTCCGGAGAAAACACGTAAACTAATGTAACTTGGATTTACGTATAGAAATACCTTAAAATAGCCAAGACCATTATAAGTATACATAAACCCTTGAATTTTGCATTTGCTTTTGATGTTACATTACGCCTTCTGTTATGTTGCCACCTTTTCCATGTAAGATAAAACTGGGCGACCATCAAGCGCAGAACACGAAGGTTATTTTCTAATTGTTCACAAATATATATAAACGAATGAAGTTACATCAAGTAGTCGCCTTATGGATATAATCAGTGACAACAAAGTTATACAAAAGGTGACGGGGTTATAACACTTAAGAAAAGTAAACAGAGTGAATGAGAAGTTTACTTTGGAAGAATGTTAAAATTTATATCAATGAATGAAATAGGCCAAAAGGATACTGGAAATCCAGTCTGTATTTTGAAACAACCAGATTCATGTTGTCGTGGTTTCTAAGATCTTAAGTTTATCTAGCCTTAAATTCACACTGGATAGTAAAATGTATTGATCATCTTACAAGTGAAAAGGATTTTTAAGGAATCAAAGTAATCTGATGAACTCTGGGAACGAACCAACCAAGAACCTATCACGCAACAAATATGCAGGAAGAAGTGGAGATGGATTGGCCATGCACTGAGAAGGCCGACGGAGGACATCACGCGTCAGGCCCTCGAGTGGAATCCCCATGGGAAGCGACGAGTTGGACGTCCGAGGGTGACATGGAGGAGGTCGTGCGAGCAGGAAATGAGAGCTTCTGGGCTGTCGTGGGACCAGGTTCAAAAGATCTCAGAGAACAGAGGTCACTGGAGGCGTGCTGCTGAAGCCCTATGTTCCACTAGGAACCCAAGGGACTAATAATAATATAATAATAAAGTAATCTGATGAAATATTGCTGCATTCATTTTTCATGAAATAAATTATTTCATACCGTATTCACTCCGACATTACAAAGTGTACGATTTCAGCTGAGATATTAATTTTATCGGTGAATCGGGGTTTCGAAGTACAAATGTAATTCGATTAAGGTCTGTCACATTAGGCTTTAAACTGAAATGACGACTTTACACTCTAAGGTGAAGTTTTTCAACATCGTATGTTTACATGTCAACCCTGAATTCCCTATGATATCTATCAAGTTTAGTCACTTAGCCGTCGAATAATTCAAAAACCTTCCCATCAGGTCAACAGATGGCAATTTATGAAAATGTATTAGTCTATCAAACAAATCATTTCAAAATAATTTTGTTTAACTTGATGTAAATAAAACAAAACAATATGTTTTGTTTTTACGAACAAGCTAAAGAAGACCTCTTACACAAAAATTATTTGTTTGGTAAAAAATATCAATGGATAGGATACGATAAACAAAGCAAACTAGAGAGAGAAAAATTGAAAATTCACTTTGTCAAACCGCTGTCCAATATCTTGACCTGTGATTTGTCGATACTTACGACATAATTAATTCTGTACCAAGACGAAACAACTCCTTTTGGTCTACATTCTGCTCACTGACTTGCTAACTGGTATGAATCATATGAAGTTATGAAAAATGCAATCATATCACTAGCGTTCTCATTCGATTTCTGACGGGGTAATGGGTGCATTATGCTAAGGAATCCAATGTTAGGCGTGAACATCTGTTCAGCGCTCTCAGATTGTCAGTGTTTCTCCGAACTAATGTCAGATCATAATGAATACCCACCTACTCATTTCCGCTCTACACAACTATTAAGATATAATTTGGCTCACATTACGTTATAACCCATGCCCTATTTTTCTCGCCTGAGAATGATCATTTTGGCAGTTTTAATGTTAAGAATCACAATTTTTCCGTATGCTGATATATTCGTGCCTTGTCTTAGCAGTTTATTTCTTCTCTGCATAATTTTGTCAATGATAAGTCATGCGTTAAAAATAATCATGTAGTAAACATGTTAAACTTGTCTAATAAATGTTGAACGACGAACCATTATTATTGCCTACAACATATCTGATAGCAAATAGATAACATATTTCGGCAATGTATATGCATATAGAGAATTCTCGATAAGTGGGGCTTGAACGTTACCAATTGTGACTTTGCTTAAGAAGGAACATTACCTGCTTGTAAAAATAACATATTACAGTTGGCAAATAAAACTTTGTTTGTTCTTGTACTTTTTTATAAGCAAGACCGAGTAAGGACATAATCAGAATACTTTTTACTTATTTTCATGCTCGATTATATAGTGTGAGGCTAATATACTTTGCAGATAATGTGATTCCCTTTATAATCCATTTTAAAACAGAGTTCACTTTCTTCGAATGGGAGAGATGAATATTGTAATGGCATTAAGACATAAATGCAGATGAAAACGTATAAACGATCCCTAGTAGATGTTTCTTAGTAGAAAAGGTTCACAAGCATAGTTAATAATAATAATCATAATGATTTAGCCCCTAAATGAGTATTTCGTGTAGTTGGAGTTGCTCTTACAATCGTTTTATCAAAACTAATTCAGTGCACATGACCGATTCGTTCGAACAAGCTAAATCCCCCTACGTGACTCAGCTGGATCTATAAAATATAAAAGTGATGAAGTATGCTGTAATTTGTCTAGAAATTACGCATTTCTGTTTTCTCAGCAATTTTGAACTAGTCAACCACCTAAACTCTGAATTGTTTTTTTATAAATGGATAACCGATTTGAGGTAGCGTGAAGGGTGAACTCTCATGGTTGTAAGAACTCACCTCATTCAGTGGAGGTGAATAAATAAGACCATAAAGCATACTTAATCCAAAAGTTCCATGCATCGTTGTTTATGACTCGATTCTTGGGCATCTGGTTAACTCTGGTGGCTCTGCTTTACTCTAATGACCTTTCAGTGTCATATTTAGATTAAAATCCAACATTAGGAAGTGGATTTGTTTTCAATACCCAAACATAGTAAAAACCTTGGTAGTTCATAATTTGAAGCTTGTTCTCTATATTCAACAGAGTTATGGTCAAGCTCTCATGTTACCATGGCAATAATATTCCTACAGTCACCGTCATTTTCGCCCTATTTACCAATATTACTGCTTTATTCTTCCATTTCTGACTTTAAAATTGTTCATTACAAACTTCTGAACCAGTGGTTACGTGCTAGCTACGGAACTTGAAGGTCGCGTGTTCGATCCCTAGCAGGGTTGTGGGTATGCCTTGATGAAGAGTCCCGTACAAGGATGAAACAGCTGCCCAGTGCCACCAAGTTTCTAGTCTTCCCCCAACCGATGTCAATCTGTGATAAGTGTCAACTTGAAAAATTTCTAAATCCTCACAAACCCCTCAAATTCAATTGAATTAGCGCTTATTTGTAACTAGCTCTGAGAGGTGATCTTTGAAGTTCCAATGAGTAGTAGTGACAAGTGAGGCAAACCTGGTGGCCGTGAAAAAAAGAACTCAACGATGACAATAGGTGGCGGTCGCACTATGTCGTGAACTGACAGATGTTGGAAATATGGACCAGTGGATTCCGACCCAGTGGCCCACTGTTTACGTGCTGGCCACAGAACATGAAAGTCGCGAGTTTGTTCGCTGGCAGGGTCATGAGTGTGTACTACCAGGAAGAAACAGCTGTCCGGTACTCCCAGGTTTCCAGTGTTCTTCCAGCTGATGCCAATCGATGATAAATACCAACTTGGAATTTTAAGTTCATGATTCTAGGAACAATTTACCAAAACATTCCACACAAATTTTTTGATGGCCTCGTGCGGACATATTAGCCGTTGATAAACATGTTTTTTCGTTTCAACTATGAATGTGTAGTTTTTTTAAAAATTACTCACCAATGTGGAGATTTCCTTCGATGACTAATCGTTTTTTTAATTAAATGTCTTCATAACGACCCACTAAGACCAAATCATACGTTGTCAAATGGGACGTGTAAGTCTAATGAACTCGGAAACTGTATTATTCAACACTCAAAATGTCTAATGAATTTTTAATGACATACCTAACATATTCATTTTGCAAATATTCCAAACAAATTCATACAAGAAGATCAAGAAGAAAACAGTGTGAATGTCGTACAACTGTTCAACTTCTATTAGAAACATAGCAAGTCATCATAAATTTATGCAAATCAATTACTTTTTTCAAATGTCCATCTACTTTCTACTCAGTTGGTTCTAAAAGTACTGTTAAAAGTATCTCTTTACATCTCGAATATTTATGCATGTGACTGTAGATTATCCTTTGAAACGGTCAAGGAACTGACAATAAACACAGGTTTGTATCTAGCGATAAATGCTTGACATCTGAAACCTAAAGGTAAATAATATTCATTATTGATATCTGTCTCCCTAAGGTCAATTAGTTTGCCTAACTTACGGTGCATGATCATTACACATGTCGTTTGACACATATTTGTGCTAGATTGTTTTATCTGCAACTACTCAATAACAAGTTATTAGCATTTTTCAACAAATATTTCTTCCCTCTTTAATAGTTAATTCAGGCTTTTCCTGGTTTATCACTGGAGGACCACAAATAAATGCAAAAAGACAGGGAAAAACTTAATAACACGCATTCTTAGAAGCTTTACAGTGGCATTTAAACGTATTTAGGGTGCATATTCAATAGATTATACTTTCTTGGATTTTTGAATTGCAGCAATCCGACAAATTTAATTTATTTCAAAAGATCCGCTAGCAGTCGTCTTCA